CTTTGTTTGCAGACTGCCCCCAAGTGCCCCCAAGCTCTTATCTGTTATAAATGAAATCCAGCAGACCCATCAGGGGGACAGAATCGAGAGTTTTTGTACCCAAGTACAAAGGGGATTTCACTGGGAATAAATTGGCATTTATCAGTGGGGTCAGTTGGATAATTTAACAGATGATGATGGGACAGACAGCTGGGTGGTGTCCACAATAAAAATGGATTAGGGGTGCCTGGCTGGCTCAGGGCATGTAACTCTCAATGTTAGGGTCATGAGTTCAAGCCCCACACTGGGCATGGAGCCTACTTTAAAAAAAATGGATTAAAAAATGGATGGAAACATACCTCAGACCTGACACAGGGGAGATTCCAGAAGAAGCAAAAATGCAAATGTCAAAACAAAATTACATGACATCTTGAAAGAAACTGGGGGAAACAGTTTGATAATCATGGAGTGGGGAAAACCTAAGAATGACGCAAATCCCACGACGAGGTTGATAAGAAGTGTGTGTCCTGAGTCTATCTACAAAGTCAAAATCCAGATGACAAACTGGGAAAAATATTTGCAACCCATAACAATGGGTTAATTTCTCTAATATATATAAAGAGCTTTAAAACAAGAAAAACATCCAGTGGGAAAATGGGCTTGAGGACTTGACTTAGTTCCCAGGAAAGGAAAAGGGAATGGCCATTGACCCTGTGAAAAGATGCTCAACTTCATAGTAAGAGGCAAATTAAAACCGTTTAGCTGGAGAGAAAAGCATTTTCCCCATCAGACAGCCAAAAATCAAAACTTGGGTTGGGAGGGCCTCCCTTGTCCAGCTGGGTAGTGCCATAAACCCCACCTCTAAGCTGGACATCAGACCATATTAAAACATATTAAACCTTTGACCAAATGATTCTACTTCCAGATACCTATCCTACAGATAGATATACTTACACATGTGTGGAATTTAATATAGCAGAGCTAAGAATGGAAGTCTGGAAACAGCCTAAACGTTCAGGACAGGAACTGGTTGAATGGAATTGTGGCTGGTCCTAACAAGGGAATACTAGAGATTGTTCAAGTAGTAAGATCAACTTTTAAATGGAAAAAAAGGCATAGTGCCAAACTTGTATAGAATATGCTATCATTCGGAGGGATATTATGCATATTTGCTTGTATACGCATAAATTATCTCGGGGGGGATTTGAGAGGATAATCCTGTGGAGGGAGGTGGTGGGAAGGAGCCTTCTCTCTGGGGATCCTTGGAATGCTCTGAATCGGAGCCGTGTGAATATATCACCGATTAAAATGAGAATCAAATCAGGTACACAAGAAACCATGTTGCAGGGGGATGCAGTCATGGGGGGACAAGGGGTATGAGACTTCTCACCTGTAGCTTGGGGATTTGGAGCCCTGTCTGGATGTTTTCAGGGCAGACTTATGGGAATGTGGAGTCCAGATCCCACTGTTCTCAGATGGGAACTGAGGCTCCAGGAGAGAGGGAACAGAGCCAATTTCAAAAAACTGACAACTTTTGTCTCTCTTATGTGGGCTTCAAACACAGCAGAGATGTGCTCACTTAATAAGGAGGAAAAATCTGGGCCAGTGGCTGGTGGGTTTGCATTGTGCCTCCCTCAACTCCCCCTACACCCTAGTTCTGGAATTCTCACTGGAAGGCAGGAGGGCTGGAACCCAGTTTGGCAAATGCTCAGCTGAGAAGGGGAGCTGGGCTGGCAAGATAAAGCTTCACAGAAACAGTTTTGGGGGGCCAACATAGTTGCCTAGTGGGGCAAGGAGTCAAGGAAGATAGTGGCCCAGAAACTTTGGAAACCTCCTCATCTCTGGGGGTCAGACGACCTCCCCCGGAAAATTGCACTATTTCTATCTACTGCTTTAAAGCAGTGGGGTAGCCCTGTGGCACGAGCTCCAGTGGTCGGTGGGCCCTGAGGTGTGGGCCAGGGTCCACAGTGAATGTTTCAGCTGTATTCCTGTAGGGGATGTGTGCCCAGCTTCAGGCCCTCCTCCCTCGTTCACCGCCAGCACCGCCAGGCTCTGGGTGGAGAACTTGCCCACACCCCCTAGTCTTTCCTTTGCCCACCCAGGGAAGGGGCTTCATAATTTTTATCAAGACCAAAGTACAGGCATAGGCTACCTGCTCAGTCCTTCCCCTCCCTTGGCAACGTGATCCACATTAATCATGCCCAAGTCTATGCACTGAGATGCTCCAAGGTTGAAGGAATATGTAGGGACATCAGGTGACTCCTTTCATTTCACAGATGGGGATGCGGCCTGGAGGGGAGCAGGGAAGGCGCTTGACTGTAACAACCTCTGTGTGATTGTGTGATCGGGCTCCCAGAAGCAGCGGAGGATTGAGGGGAGGCAGGGAGAGGAAGGCCCTGAGGCAGGGGGTCTCAGCTGAGGCTGAAGGAGCAGTGGGTCCCTGCATGTGAGGGGTGACAAGGTGGGAGGCCTGGGGAAAAGCCTGGGCCACTGGCCTCTCCAGAATAGACCAGCTGTGAGGCTCCTGCATGCAGCCCTGGGCCCAAAGGCCACAGAGCTGGGTGCAGCCACCTCTCAATGCTCACAGGTTGCTGGGGGATACAGGAAGAGAAACCCCAGCTCACAAGGCCTGGACCAAAGCAGAGAGGCCTTGGCATAGTCCTGCACTGGGTAGCCTCATGGAAGGTTTCCCAGAAGGGCATAGTGTGGGGCTCAAAGTGGGCAGATGGGAGATAAGCATTCCCTGCAGAAGGAACAGCACCCGTGAGGTGAGCTGTGAGGACAGTCAGGTCTTTATTGGCAGATGACATGGTAGCACTGGAGCGATGATGGAGAGTAGGTGGAAGTCTATGTCCCCTCCCCCATCTGTTTCACAACTCACTTGGAGGCATTATTTGGAAATGAGTTTCTGCAGCTCTTTTCAAGGCTCCCTGGAGCAGCCACTAGGGTTTGTAGGGTTTGAGGAAGGGACAGGCTGCTCAATGGGCAGTGGAGCCCTTGTTTTGGGCTAAATGGGGCTGACCACGGCAGCATTTGGGCGGGGGGGGGGGGGCGGTGGGAGACAGGATGCGGCTTGAGTGAGATATAGCAGCAGGCCTCCTTGGTGTACAGGGCATTACACGTTCCAGGGGACTTGGAAGTGGGTCCCTGACTCACAGACACTCCCCTTTCCCGAGGAGCCACCACCTTGATCCCCCAGCTGGCCTCAGAGCCTGACACTTCCAGGTTTCTTGTTGGGGGGGGGGGGGATGGGGGCCGGGCCGTACAGGCCGTACTCTGTTCTCCTGTGGGGCCTCCAGCCTCCCTAGACACAGCAGGAGCCCAGCCTATCTTGTCTCCCTCTCTGGTCTTGGGAGACCCCCATTGTCATGTGAAGCCACAAGGTAAGCCCTAACTGGGAGTGAATGTGTGGCTGACTCCTGGGAGATGGCTGGCCCAGCACTGGCACACCCAAGGAAGCTAGGGTCTGCCCTCATCTGTAAAATGAGGGAGGTGGACTAGATGCTCGTGGAGACCTGTGCCCTTGCCCTCTCCTGACCATGTATGGTGTGGGATCTGAGAGCTAGACTCTAAGAGCAGATCTGAGCACACCCAGAAGCAGAAGAGATATTCTGTGCTGGGAACTCAGGGACGGGGGTCACACAGGAGCTGAGGGGTCGTGACAAAGACCAGGGCCAGGGTGGGAGCAGTAGTTGCTCAGATCCATGAGGGAGGCCCCAGCTCATAAGGGAGGCAGATGAGACCTTCTGGCTTTAGCTGGAGCCACACCACCATCCCCACCCCCAGGACACACACAGATGTGGGGTTCCACGCCCTTTCATTGAGGGAGCTGGAGCAAGACACTCAAGAGATTTTTGTGGAAGAGGAGCATCTCACTCCCACCAAGATGGGCAACACCCTTCCAGCTTCCCTTTGAGCTGAATACTTCCTCTTTCAAAATGTGACCCCAACCATCACTCCTGTACTTCTGGAAGTAAATCCTTGCTGCCTAGGGCTGAAGGGAACAGTACCCGCCCCTACCCCAGGGCGGTACCTAGACTAAGGACCTAGACTAAATGCAAAGCAGTCCTCAGGTATCTTGATTAGCAAGATGGCAAGCAAGGGTGGGCTGCCCCAGAGGACAAGAGGCCAACCATTCTGTGATGGGAGAGGAAGGGAGGATGCAGATCCATGTGGAAAGTGCCAGCTGACTGCACTCCATAGCCTTGGGGCCTGGGTTGTTCTGCATTTGCCACAATCAGAGGGCACATGGGACTTGTCCTCAGCTTTAAGCCTGGGCTGGGAACCAGGAGTTTCCTGCCCCTGCCTGCCAGGTGTTCACGGTGACACCACAGAGGTACCACATTGGCTGGACCACTGACAGCCATCTCAGGGAAGGAGCTCATGGACACAGCAGACCCCCCTCTGTACACACACAGCCCTTGTCACTGCCTGTGGCTCAAAGGCAGGATTGTTCCTCACTCCCTCCAAAGGCTTGGTCCAGGTGACAATGCTGTTCCCTATAGCCCCTCAGCTTTCAAAAGCAAATTCACTTAAATTACATGTTTAAAGAAACAAAAAATCTTCCATCTAAGATGATCTTGCCTAGAGAGACTGAACAAGAGCAAGGGGGTCTCAAAGGCACAGAGCCATTAGGCATCCAGTGGAGTCCCCTCCCTGTGCAAGCAGGTAAAATGCACTTGACTTCTCCCACAGGTCAGGCAGTACGGGCTGGCCCTTTGCTTTAGTCAACACACAAGTGCTGGCCCTGGCTGACTAGGGCCAGTTCCAGGCATAGGAATTCCTAGTGCTAGTGGCTGGGTCTCACTTAGGTGGAGATGCTATAGGGGCTATGGAGCCTCTCACACCGTGGGCTAGAAAGGCATTCTAGCCCAAAGGCACCTGCTCTGAGCAAGCAACATGGCAGCTGAGGCCCCTATGGCCCAATATGGGTGCAGAAATTGCCCACTGTCTTATCATCTCCACAAGGGAGCCCCTGCACTTGACGGGAGGGGCCTTGGATCAGTTAGACTCCAGCACACTGGGCCTTGATAACTGATTTTATTGTTGACAGTGCCCCGAGGGCCAGGACCTTCAGTGTCCCTGCAAGGTGCACTAAACACCTGAAGGCTTTCCAGAGGCACTATTCCATAAAACATGAATGGCTTCAAAACTACAGGCCCTGTGTTGTGTCCAGAAACTGTTGTGGTGGAGACCTGGGTGCCTAAGGAGAGCAGAGGCTAGACACAGATTTGAGGGACGTCAGGGCAATATAACCAAAAACTCTGCCTCTTGTGTACCTCCCCACTCCCACCTGAAAGCTGTCCAAAAGTTCCAGAACAACAGGACTTTCCAGGTCAAGAAACTAGGGAACTAGGGCAGGGTTTGATCCTGGGGAACAGGGAAGTGAAGGCTTCCTTTTCGCAGGGTACCCTTTGCCCATCTGGTAGATGGAGGAAGGTGGGGCTGGGAGAAAAGCCCAGACCCAGCTGACTCTCCAACCTCTAAAGCAAATCAGATTTTGATTCTGATCTCTCCCTCCCCTTCTCCCCCTGACCCGACCCCAGCCAGCCTGAGCCCGGGCAGACTTAGCCTACGTGGTGGCCCCGCCCCCGCAGGTGGGAATGGATTCAACTCTGGGTTCCCGCCAAGGGCACAATCGTGAACCTGCCCTGGGAGGGCCAAGCTGCAAACAGCAAACGTTGAATGGGAGGCTCCGATTTGAGTCTGATTCCTGGGTCTGTGGCCCCGGGCAGGATGCCAATCAAGACTGAGGCTTCTGCTGGGGGCACAGGACAGCCAAGGCTAGGCAAAAGGACTCTAAGAGTAGGTTCCGGGAGGGCACCCCTCCCGCCCTCGGTTCCCCAGTCACTGTCCCGGCCCTGCACCCACTCCTCCGCAAGCCAAGGAAGCCCGAAGCAGCAGCAGCCTCCAAACCGTTTATTTCTCCGGACCTGGAGGTGGGGGTCGCTGGGGGCGAAGCGGGCACAATACTGCGGGCAGCAGGGCCTTGGTGCAGGGCGGGTAGGGCCAGCGCGGCCCTCAAGCGAAGGTGGAGTTGTTCCAGCCCACGTTGGCCGCGTTCATGTCGTAGTAGTTGATGTAGATCCTGCGGGGCGTGGAAGCCAGATTCAGCGGGCTGCGTTGTCACGGGCCTTGGGCTGCGCCCCTCGGCGCCCCCACCGCCCCTCGGCGCCTCCACAGCCCCACGCACCTATCAGGGCTGACGCGCAGGCGCTCGGCCAGCAGGCCACACAGCAGCTTGCTGTAGGAACGGTTCTGCGCGCCGCCGATCTTGCCGATGCTGTGCAAGCTGCAGAGCGCGCACGGCTCGCTGGAGCCGCCGAAGACCATGAGCTGGTCAGGGACCACGTGCACCGCGATGTACTATGGGGAGACGGGGTGCGGTCAGCCGGCCCGCGAGCCCTCGCCTGGGCCCGGGCGGCCACCCATTCCATCCCTTCCCTGCCCAGAGCCTCGGCCTGGAGTCGCCCCCTCCTCGCCCCCAAGCCCGTGACCACCTCGTCCGGCCTGCACCCCTTCTCCCTGTTCTCTCCTGGCAAACCTGGGCCGGCTTGCCGGTGGCCTGCGCCAGCTGCTGAGTGAGCTCGGAAAGGAGCCCGTCCGGCACGGAAGCGCGGGGGACATTGGTGTTCACCACGAACATCGGCATGCTGGCGAAAGAACGGCGGGGACGGGTGCACAGAAACCCACCAACGCGCGAAAGGCTGCAGCACGGTAACCTGAACTACGTGACCGCCGCCTGGTGCCGCCCAACAGGAAGCTGAGGCCCCGCCTCCTGTGACGCCACAGCCGGCGGACGCCCCGCCTCCGGACGCCCCGCCTACGTGCGGCTGTGGGGCCCTCCCGGCTGGTGAGGCCCTTCAGTCTTCGGAAGCGGAGGCCCCGCCCCTGTGCGGCCACAGCTCTCTCCTGACTGGTGAAGTCCAGGCTGGCGGAGACCCTGTCTTGGCGGAACTTGGGTTGCTGGCTTCTTGGTCCCACTCACCCTCTCAAAGCCGTTCTTCACGCGGAGGCCAGAAATACTCATATCCTTCGTTTCTTCGCTAGTCCTTTACTTTAGTCACTGACGTTTATTCAGCGACGTGTGTGTGCCAGGAGTTCGAGATGCAGCAGTTAACTGAGCACGTGGCCCCTTGCCACCTGCCAGGAGCTCACAGCCAGCAAAGTAGATGAAGTCCCAGCCCATTCCACCACACGCACCGAACCTTTGTGTGCCCTGAGTTTCCAGGGCTACATGTTCCCCAAGGCTGTAGTCCTGGGCCTGTGTGTGTGTGTGTGTGTGTGTGTGTGTGTCTGTGTGAGAGTGATGGGGAAAGGTAGGCATTGCTGCAGGTAGAAGGGGGCAGCCAGAATAGAGTCAGGGGCAGCATCCAGGTGCCTTCCCTGCACCCTTGCTCTTTAACGTAAGTGAGCATGCTGGGAGGTGCCAGGGGGAGGGGCAGGGAATAAGAGATGAGGCTCAGGCAGGGCTCCATAGGCCAAGCAGTTAACAGCTCTGTCTCGGAGCCCCTGCTCCCCTGGGCAACTTCTCTGCAGGTCTGGGAACTTTAGCTCCTCGGGGGAAGCCCCACCATAGTTAGGTCCTCTAGGAATGGCCTCCCTGAGAGTCTTGGTGAATTCTTTCCATCCCTTCCACCAATGGTAAACTCAGGGGGCATCTAGTGGGTAGCAAGCATACAAGAGACACAGACTGAATACTGGTTGAATGAACGAATGGGTGAATGAAGACAGTCATGACACGGCAGGAAGAGAATAGGGCAGTGGCTGGATTGGGACCCTGGCCAGGCCTGCAGGCCTTGCCATCCCTGGGAAGAAGGGCTTGTGGCTACGTGGCTACCCCACTTCCACTCTGAAGAGCCCCCTCTGGTCAGGGTGCTGTGCTGGGGAACAGATCTCTCTCAGGTGCTCTAAGGGGCACACTGTGTTTGGCCAAGTCCTCAGAGCTCTCCAGGAAGGTCCTGTCTTTGGCATCTGGCAGGTGCTATCCAGTTAAGGTGGCACAGCACACACTGGCCTTGATATGCTACAGCAAGGACACTTGTGCCTGTGGGACCAGCCAGTATCCATTCAAGTAGGTCCCATGGCCCAGTTGTGCAATACCCTGCAAGTGTTTGTTCCTCCACCTAGGCCCCAGGCTGCTTCCTCACTCTCACACCCTATGCACAGGCCTCCTTACCATTGATGGACTGATGCACTCCACACCGTGTCGACAGCTACCCCCCCTTCCGAGCTCAGTAGCCAATTCAGCACCTTCTGCTTCCTGTGTCCAAATCCAAGTGCATGACTATTCCTCCCACACCTGTTGGCCTGCCAGTGAAATGTACTTCCCTCCACTGTCACCCTTATCCTTCCCTGTCTCCACCCAGCCCATCACCACCACCACCACCTTAGTTTAAACTAGCTGGCTTCACCTTTGGCCTAGCATGTACCCTGTGATAACGCCATGGTGGACTGTTCTTCCTGGGAGAGGAGTCTATTTCCCTGCCCCCTGCCAGCGGACCTGGCCACATGACTTACCTTGCCCAATGAAATGCAAACAGAAGTTACGTAAGTGACTCCAGGAAGAATATTCAAGAGCCTGCACCTGCACCCGGTTCTCTGAGATGGTGGAAGTGTGACAAGATGGATCCACACCAGCAAACACCAGCAATGCCCCGTAGGTGAGCCACTGCGATTTTGAGGTTTACTGTAGCATAGGGCAGTCTTTCCTAATCAGGACAGCCTATTTACTAATTACCCTTCCCTTTCCCAGTAGCAGTCAGTGCCATCTTTCGAGAAGGGCATCTGGGGAGGTGATATCATTCACAGGCCCAGCCCTTACTAGCTTGGACACTTGACTCACCCCCTCTCTGAGATTCAGTTTGTTCCCCCACCTGTTAATTTGAAGATAGTAGTGTCCACCTTACAGAGGAGTGTTCTGAGGACCAAGTGGCCTAAATACTGGTGATAGTCCCCGCTGATATTAGAGGTAGTACTGTCACAATGCCCTGGCATGTCACAATGCCCTGCCCCACAGTTTGCACCCCTCCCCCTTGGTCCCTGAGTCTGTGCACTGTCCTTAGGGACCATGCTCCTGACTCTTGGCTCTGGCATTGGTCCTGAAATGTGGTTTGCATGCACTTTACCTCATCTACCTCAGTTCCTTGGGAAAGTCCCAGAACCCCTGGCTTTAATGTGGTCCTGTAACATGCTCAGCACCTCTCCTTCCTTTGAGGCCATAACCTTATTCCTATTTGTGCGTTAATGTTTCCTTGCTAGGTGGTAAGCTCCATGAGAGAGGGGACTGGACTGTCTCTTTTTGGCCATCGCTGTTTGCCCACCTCCTTGACCCATTATTACCTCAGTGGTAGGCAGAGGGCCTCCAAAGATGTCCATGATCTAACCCCTGGAATCTGTGAATGTTATGTTACACGGCAGAAGGCACCACACAGATGTGATTAGAATTGCGGACCTTCAGGGGCGCCTGGGTGGCGCAGTCGGTTAAGCGTCCGACTTCAGCCAGGTCACGATCTTGCGGTCCATGGGTTCGAGCCCCGCGTCAGGCTCTGGGCTGATGGCTCAGAGCCTGGAGCCTGTTTCCGATTCTGTGTCTCCCTCTCTCTCTGCCCCTCCCACGTTCATGCTCTGTCTCTCTCTGTCCCAAAAATAAATAAAAACGTTGAAAAAAAAATTAAAAAGAATTGCGGACCTTCAAATTGGGGGGTCATTATGGATTATCTGGGTTGGCCCAATGTAATCACACGAGCCCTTAAAAGCAGATAATTTTTTCCAGCTAGACTCAGTGAGATGCGGCAGAAGGGGAAGTCAGACTCAAAAGCAGGAGAAGGACTTGATGCGCCATTACTGGCTCTGAAGATGAAGGAGGCTAGGAGTCTCAGTCATACAACCACAAGGAACTGGATTCTGGTAACAACCTGAATGGACTTGGGAGAAGTGGGTTCTTCTCTAGTTGACCTAGGGACACCTTGACTTTGGCCGTACAAGACCCTAAGCAAAAGACCCAGTCACTTGATGCTGGACTTCTGACCCACAGAAAGTGTGAGATAATAAATCTATGTTGTTTTAAGCTGACAAATGTGTGTTGATTTGTTCTAGGAGCAATAGAAAGGTAATACACTTGGCATTGATAGGGGCTTGATAATTATTTGCTGAACAGCAGGGACACATGCACTGGGAGGTGTCGGCAGGCTGCTGAGCTGCCTGAGATCATCTCCCCTTTCCTCCTCACTGACCGAATCTCAGTTCTGTTTGATTAGAACACTCGCTACCCCAGAGCCCCTGACAACCAGGCATGGCCACGTGAAGCTCATGCCATGTGTGGGGTTTATGGGGAAGCAGGTGATTTGCTAACAGAGGTGCCACCCTTCCCTTTTCCTCCTGCCCACTCCCCAAACTTGGACATGACCCCCAGATATGCAGCAACTGTTAGGCAACCATGAGCTGGAAAAACACAGGCCAAAGAGCCAGGAGTGGCAGCCCAGAGGAGCCTGGGGCTCTGAAAAATAAACCCCTCTCTGCTCAAAGCACTGCTTATCAGGGTTTGTGTCATTTGCAGCCCCAGTGCAAGTCCTGGCTCCTGCAGAGGACTTCCTGAGTGCCATGTCCAGGCATTCTTACTGCAAGTGTTTTTGCTGCAGGCATTTTCATGGCAAACATTTTTGCCACATCACTGACCGGTCACAAGGCAGTGTTGCCATAAAAGATAAAATCAAGAAAAATAAAAGAGGGACATTCATTAAAAAGGACATAATTAATGAAACATGAAAACAATAAAACTACTTGGCTGAGAAATACAAAATTTTTGGATACATTTATTTTTTTTTAATGTTTACTCATTTTTGAGAGACAGAGATAGAGTATGCACGTGCAGGAGGGGCAAAGATGGGGACAGAGGATCTGAAGTGGGCTCTGAGCGGACAGCAAAGAGCCCTATAAGGGGCTTGAACTCACAAACTGTGAGATCATGATCTGCGCTGGAGTTGGACGTGCAACCAACTGAGCCACCCAGGTGCCCCTAATATATTTGAATACATTTAAAACGTGTGTAGATTCTATGCAAATAACTGATTTTATTTTGTGGATTGTATCTATGTATGCTTTCAAGATCTTTCATTCATAGTATTGCACATTTTTTTTTTTTTATTCACTCATTAGGCATCACAGTTTTTCTTTTTTCACTAAACTTTCGTCCTTCATTAAGAGAGATATCTGTTGGGGCGCCTGGGTGGCGCAGTCGGTTAAGCGTCCAACTTCAGCCAGGTCACGATCTCGCGGTCCGCGAGTTCGAGCCCCGCGTCGGGCTCTGGGCTGATGGCTCAGAGCCTGGAGCCTGTTTCCGATTCTGTGTCTCCCTCTCTCTCTGCCCCTCCCCCGTTCATGCTCCGTCTCTCTCTGTCCCAAAAATAAATAAAGGTTGAAAAAAAAAAAGAGAGATATCTGTTTCTAAACACTAGGGTGCATTTTGTTTGTTCGTTTTTATTTTGTTTTTACTTTTTTTAAATCTTTTAATGTTTATTTATTTCTGAGAGAGAGACAGAGAATGAGCTGGGGAGAGGCAGAAGAAAGAGAGATGCAGAATCTGAAACAGGCTCCAGGCTCCAAGCTATCAGCACAGACCTGGATGAGGGGCTCGAACCCACGAACTGGGAGATCATGATCTGAGCCAAAGTCAGATATGCAACTGACTGAGCCACCCAGGCGCCCCTGTTTGTTTGCTTTTACAGGTGTATTTTTGAGAGACAAGGAGAGAGCATGAGTGGGGAGGGGTGGAGAGAGAGGGAGACAGGATCAGTGGCAGGTTCTGTGCTGACAGCAGAGAGCCCTATGCAGGGCTTGAAGAACCATGAGATCGTATATACATATACATAGGGTGTATATCACATCTTTATCCATTATCCATTAATCAATCGATGGACACTGGGGCTGCTTCCATAATTTGGTATTGTAGATAATGCTGCTATAAACATAGGGGTGTATGTGTCCCTTTGAATGAATGTTTTTATATTTGGGGGGTAAGTATCCAATAGTGTGACTACTGGATAGTTCTATTTTTATTTTAGTTCAGTTTTAGTGGGTTTTTTCTTTGTGAAAACTTGTACATTGTTATTTGTTCTTGGTATTTTGTCACATATCCATTCATAGACCTTCCATAGTTCTATGGGAAATGCAGTCAATACTCTGCACCCCTGTATAGACCATTATGAAGGCTAAGATTCATATAATATACAAATGGGAACACTGTGTCAATGGAGAAACAAAACCAAACCGTCAACCAGTTGATGAAACCAAAGAGCCCAACCAGTTTTTGGTTTTGTGTTTTTTTTTTTTTTTTTGTATCTTTTACAGCAAAATTGTTTCACAGCCAATTAGTTATGTGGTGAATTGCTTACGGCGAAGATGCTTACAGGAAAACGACCTAGAACCGTCTGGTGGGTAAGGACTGCCAGGCACGAAGCAGCAGGGAAGAAAACCTCCCAATGTAGGGACACGCCAGCTGGGTAAGGCGGAATATGGCCCACGCAAGCACTCAGCAGACTCTAAAAGCAGGGAGCATTTCTGTGGGCAGGATCTGAGTTACCTGATCTGGAAAGAGGGCATAGGGAGGACAGAGGCCTGCTGGCACCCCACTGTGGGGCTACCTGCCCTTCCCCTTGCTGCCTCTCCCCTGCCAGCAGCCCATGTCCCGGGGCAGTCCACCCTTCCACAGCCTCCCACGAGCCTCATTTCCCTCAGCATCTCTCTCCTGGTCACGCAAGGCTCATCACCCCTACAGCAAAAACCCAGCCAGCCCTGAGCCCTCGACAGTCCCTGAACTCATCAGTCCCATGCCCTTGTTCACTGCACACATTGTGGTTCACATGTGGTGAACACATTCAGTGAACAAAGACAAGCGAAGATGATTCCTCCCCACCTCATTCCTGCTTCTGGTCACAGTGGAAAGAGACATGGGGGTCAGCTGTACCTGAAGGTATGGGATTGCAGAGGGGGGTGTCTGCCAGGAGACCACCACATGGCAAAGAAAGGGTCCAGGTGTGGTGGGGAGCCAGCAGTCACAGCCAGTTCTCCCCACAGTACCCTGAGACACGGTCCAGAGAAGGTGATCTGGGTGAAGTCACTTCAACTCTCTGAGCCTCAGTGTCAGAACAGGGGGTGAGGTGGTGACTCCTTTCCCATAGGCTTGTGTGACGATTAAAGGGGCTAAAAGGACAAAGTGCAAAGTCCCTGGCTTATAGTAGGTGCTCAGTGAATGCCTGAACTTACCATATTGTACCCAAGTGTCCTGGAGCAGGAAATGAGCTAATAGACCTCAACCCCAATGATGGACATGCAAGCCAAGAGGGTGACTGTGCTCTCCTTCCCTGGTGTCCAAGTCCTGTCCCAACCCACCCCTGTCCTCACAGGATCCTTCAAAGCCAAGGCCAGGCTGCTCAGAAGGCCCCCAGGCACTGTTCTGCTCCTGCTGCTGCATAGTCCCGCTCAGACTCACATCCACGAGAGCTCACAGCAACCTGTCCCAAAGGTAGTGTCCTGGACTTCTTGGAAATCCTTATTTCCCAGAGGACACATAAGCATGCACCCTGGTGGCAGGGCACCTTAGAGAGTATGAGGTCACTGGTCATTGGAGTGTCATGGGAAGAGACCATGGGAGGGTCTGGCTCCCTATAATTACAGGATAAATTCCCCACCTGGCCTTCAGCCCCCCCCCCCCCCACTTCACCTTAGAGCTCTTCTGCCCCATGGATGCTGGGCTTCCCCGCCCACACATCCGCTCTGTCCCAGGGCTTTCCCATCTCCATTCAGTAGCATCTATGGCCCTCATGAAGTCTTCCTGACACCTCTAGCTGGAAACCTACCCATCCCTAGGCCTCATCACCCTGGGACACCATGGACACATTTTCATGGTCTGCCTCCAAAGAAAGCCGAGTATGTGTGTGTGTGCGCACACATGCACAAAAAGTTGGCATCCACCCCTGTAATGTGGCTCCACTGCTGGAGCCACAGGGATGAGACCTGGGCTCCCCCTCAGCATCCTTGTCCTTCTTTGAGTGTCTGGTTCTCCCTAACCTTTGATTTCCTGCTGCCTGTAGAATGGAGCCAGGGAACCAGCAGCACAGGGACTCTGACCTCCTGCAGGGTCTGTAGGAAGGGCCAAACTGTGGACTCTCTTCCCTCCTGCCTCTGCAGAGCCTTAGCTGTGGCCCTTTGGCCTTGGCCTCCATGCCCTGCCACCAGCCCTGGATCTACCCTCAGCACTGGCTCAAGCCCCAGGTCCACCACTAACCCATAGTGTCACCATGGACCCTTCAGATGGCCTTTGGACCTCCCCCACAGAATGGGATCAGATAGCAGAAGAGCCAGGGCCTGGAGGCAGTGTACTGCAGTGGTCATGACCACCCAGGTTCAGTCCTGGCCTACCACCTGGTGGTGTGACCTTGCTCCTTGGATAAGCCACTGCCTTCATGTGCCTCTCCTGCTCCTGTGTAAAACAGGGATAATAAAAGCACTTATTTCTGGGGGCATTTGCTCAGGTTAGAGGTGCCAATGCTTGTGAAGCACTCAAAATAGTCTCAATAAGTGGATAAGCCTCCATAGATGTTGGCTTAGAATGGTGTTGTTGATGCTGTGGTTGTGAGACTGTTTGACTTTCTTCAAGGTGAAGGTCACCGCTTCCTCCCAACCCTGGTGCAGCCTGAGGACAGGGACAGTGGTGGACACCTCGGGATACAACAGGCCCTAAGAGAATAAACTGGATAAACTGAAGGAATCAATGTAATCAATGGATGATTCAGCTGAGGCATGGAGAGGACAACCTGTGTCCCAAAAAGAGGGAACCAGAGTGTCAGGGTCCGGAGAGGAGTGGATGAGGATGAAGGCAGGAGAATCAACTGCAGCCCTTTGGAAGCCATGTGGCCCTGACCCTTGAGAGCAGGGCATGAGAACTGGTAGCCAGGTTTGCTGGCCCAGCAGGGAGAGGCTGGGCCCCAGAAGCTGAGACTCAAAGCCCGGGTAACTAGCAAGCCAGGGAGAAGGTGTGTGAGTCAGGAGAGGGAGCTAAGCTGGTGCTCTGGAAG